CCCCAAAACCCCAAAACCCCAAAACCCCAGAACTCATTTTTATAACTGATTTATAGTTAAGATAAATAAATAAACAATTGAATTTAAATAAAAATAATTGAATTAATTTGGGATAAATATGAATAGGTCTTCTCAAACATCAAATACTATAACATAGCTTTAAAATGAAGTAGGTCTTTTTTAAAGCAAAGATGTATAAAATGAATAATGGAGAAACTTATTGAATGTAGGAAGTTTAGTCGATGTCAATCTAGATATACCATTTACTGAAGAGAGTGGTTGGGCATAGGCGGAAATATCGGGCATTGATAATGATAAAATGTTCCTTTATTTTCTCTATGATGACTGGGTTTAGGACAGAATCTACAACTGATATTCCGATAAATTAGCACCATTTAGATCTTAAACATAATTCACTTACTAAGAAAGATTAGATAATTTCTATGAAAATATGCTAGTTGATTTCATTGGCAGTCATTGTAATTATACGAGATCAACTATCATTTCAATAATTAAGAAAAGTAGCCGTATAGCAAGTGTGAATGACAATTACATGAAATATGCAAGTATTGCGCTAAGAGTAAATTGTGAAAAGTGTGAAGAGAAAGAATGGTAGAATAGAAAATACTTTGGATACCCAAATAGATACAACCAACTTGTTTCTGTTTGTTCCTTGTAAATAAGACCATTTGGCTCATAAACGTTAAAAGACGATCCTCTAATTCATACTGCTGCATTTGGAAGTTTAGATCAGGTCAAATAATTAGTAAGTTAAGGAGAAGATGTAAATTAGAATACATTCTTTGATGAAACTGCATTTTTTATGGCTTGCTACTATAACAGATTAGAAATAGCTGAGTATTTACTTCAATTTGAAGTCAATATAAATTAATGGATAAGATATCAATTGAATCCATTAATAGTGTCTATTTATCGTAACTATCCTGATATTTTTAAATTGCTTTTAAAGAATGGAGTCTCAATTGATTTATAAACTGATGATGACATTGTCAAGGAGGATATAAAGTAAAAATTTTCTTAAATAGAGACAGTGATATTTGCACACTAAGAGTGGTAAAGAATCAAATTTAACCTGAAAATATTAGATATAGCACTTTTATAAAAATAAAATAAAGTCAATAGGCAAAAAGAAAATGTGAAGAATAATTTGATTTAGGATTTAGCTAAGATAAACAAGAATATTTTATTTACTGTGATAGAAAAATATTTGTGAATGATTAGTGCTTAAAATATAGTGTAGTACACATTACAATTAATAAAACTAAATAAGCAACAATAATTTTTATAATTTTAAGTAATAATAATGATATTTGATATGTTGATTATTATCAAGTATTTAATTTTCATTAATTCAAATGATATTCGAAAAATGGGGTTTTGGGGTTTTGGGGTTTTGGGG